CCAATCACTTTTGTAATGAGTCGTCCCTTACTGAACGATAATGTAACATTGAGCTGATAATATAGATATTGTAAGAAATAACATCTGCTGGACTCAGTGAGTTGAAGTCTATTAGACTTTATAAATAGTTCATGTAATGTTACGAGCCGCAAACCTAAATCAACATGTAAGATCATAGTTACCGAGCTATCACATGCTGACTGAGACTCGTAGATAAAGGTATTAAACATCAACATTTTATTTGTATTCATAATTTTTGGAGCTGTGTTAGTGGTCATGAGATAAGGATAAGGTGTGTTAAGGTTTTGCTGCAAGGTCAAGTGCAAAGACAACACCTACAGATGGCGTTGCATGGATAATAGTGTCCTTCGCAGCCCTTAYAAACTGCGTTACCGGTGACCTGCGGTTCTGGCTGCCMCGACAACAACCGTCAACGGAAACTTCAGCCTTTCCTTTGTCACCCGACAAAAAGAGCGGCTACGAAGTCTAGATTGTCATCTCAATAAAAACAGACAAAGAGCGGCCTTTACTAACCTGGCAATCTTGAGAAAAAGTGTGACGACAAACATGTTATAKATAGACCAACTTATAAACTTGCTTTCATTAAATGCAGAGGGCGCCTTCCTTACTGAGTAGCACAGACGAATGCCCCAAAGCAAAAACAACAATTCAACTGAAAATAGAGATTGTTATTAAGTAAGTGAATGCATATCATAATAATATAGCAGTGATTGCATAGCCAGTATTCCCATTCTTAAAAGCAGGTCAGTATTCAGGACAGCAACAAAGAAAGAAGAAATGATGGGTATTTGGATAAAAGGAAGAGAGGAAGGAACTAAGGAATGAAGGGGACTGAGAAAAGAGCAAAGTGGTTGTTAACTCACAAATCAAAATGGCGTGGTCCCACCAATCAAAGGAACACTCTTTGTAAGTCCTGTCCCGTAGATCCTTGTGTTCTAATACTCTTACTTCACCAGCTAGTGACCAGGCAAGYAGATAGACTAGATACACGGCCAGAATTGGTGCAAGGCGAGTCAATAAATGACGATCAGTCAGTCGTATTTTCTGGGCTGACTTCACGCGGAATATTACTGAAATTCTGTTGAAATGATATGACAAAATCAGAAATCCCTAACTGAAATGCGTGAATGTTAAATTCTTGAATTGGGTAAAAAAATAGAACTAGACGCTCATGTAGCGTGAAGTCGGACTAGCTATTTTTGGTAAACAAAGTTTCTTCTTGTTCTAATTTGAAATAATTGCCCAAACAAACTGTCTAACGCAAGAATTCAGTTTCGTAAGCATACTACTCGAAGGGCTCCATGCGATCCGCACATGCGCGTACTTCTGATGCTAGACTTTCTAGACTGATGCATTCTGATGAGATCACAGATACCACATTTGTAAACGAATAGTTTTTTYTATCACATAAAAGCGCAAGTAGCATATAACATTTACTAACCAGATTTGTACATCAATACGTTTGAGCTTCCGGTCATGAAATAACACAGCCAACCCAATTATTAATTAAATTCTTAACTTCGGCTAGACCGACTAATAAGCATATTTGCCGTATCAAAGGGAGTATGAATCCCACATTTCAAGGAGGTAGCTTATAAACAGTCGAAGATATGAAAGTTTAAAAATGTTCATTTTATACAAGAAAGTGTATAGTATTCCCACCGCTCATGGGTACAGTTTCCCCATACAATACTTCCATCCCTCGTGAATACTGTGGCCCCACTACAGTACAAGGGTACAGTATCCCCACCTTGCATGAGAACACTTTCCCCACCTCTCATCGGTACACCTATCCCCGTGGGAAGATTACCTCCATGTCTTGAGAAGGAGTGATGTATAAGCGAGGCCGAAGCCAAGATGACGTAGCCACAGACGTACAATGCACAGCAGGGGTTCAGCTACAGGGAGCAATACTATAACCTGAAACCACAATGCAAATTTTAGCTCTTGAATTAAATTGAAGAAGACCTAACCTCAATATGTTCAAATTTAAAATACAATGTTTCTTTCCTTTTACGTTATTTAGACAATCGGATCTTGAAATGTGATTTAATTTAATAAGTGTTATGAAATTAAGTCATCAATACAAAATAATTTACTCAATGCATGATTGGTTGGTGAGAACAACTGGACCCTAAACTATCCCCATACTTTGTAGTTTTGCGGTTTGTTGTCAGTGTAAAGGTTTGCTCATACGGGTCCYCTAGGGGTACAAAATGGTGTCATACTATACCTCCAGGTACATTAATATGGAACCAAATAAAATTATACAAAGAAACTGTGGACTTGCTGACTTGATGACCTGAACATTCAGATAAAGTTTTGTTATATACACATGCAGATTATACTTCACACGTGACACGACATTCTCCCTTGAAAAGTCCGTGTCTTTTGTTTCATTGTCAAATGTATAGTTTTTTTAGTTGCTACTAAACAGTGGACGATCAAGAATGCTGCAACATGCTACAAAAGACACWTAGACTTCTGTGCAGACGGCAGATGTACAATACCTTTATATCCCTGTATAAAATCACCACAACAATAATTGACAAGGTAACGACGACGGTAAGCCCAGTAAACCCGACCAGAGTGTACCTTAATGGCCAATTCAAGGTCACCACACAAGGTGAATCATCGTCACATGTGACACACCCCTCTCGACATGGTAAACACTCGAAACTATTGGGATCCCTGTGGTAAATGGATTGATTGTCTTGAGCAAGAAACTCAATTTCTGTCCCGTTAAACCACTTTTGACTGGACAGTTTCTTGGGAAAGTAGAATCCAGTTCTGCAAACACATTTGTATGAGCCAGCCTGGAATCCAAGTCCAATGTAGGGGACACACTAACATATAAACATATTCGCATTWTATTTCAGATGCTTGTTTTCATTAAGGAATAAAAGACGAAATTCCGTGTTTGATACTCTGATCAAAACACGCGGGATGTAGGGAGAGCACGAGAGAAGCGTAGGAAACCACGACGCGTAGCGGAGTGGTTTCCAGCTTTTCGAGTGCTCTCCCTACATCCCAAGTGTTTTGATCAGAGTATCAAACACGGAATTTCGTCTTTTATTTCTTTTCTAAAATTAAAAGAATACGAAAATTGTAAATAATTCTGACTTTTGATGCGATATGAAACGATGAATTCTCCTTACATTGCAGCTGTTGCAGTTGTCTGAAGCTTCTGTAGCTTCTAAAACGTTTGATAGCTCTTCTTCTGGGATATCATCCCAGAGGACATCATAAATAGGCATTTCTTCGTTAATTGTTCTTGAAAATGAATGATAACAACAACAAATGCAAACGGCGGGAAAAAAGAAATTTTTGACGCGCGCGAGCGTGTTTTGATACTGTAATCAAACATGGTTTTCGACCAATCACAGCGCGCGTAGTATCCTAAATATTTTAGAAACTGTAATCAAACATGGTTTTCGACCAATCACAGCGCGCGTAGTATCCTAAGTATTTTAGAAAATATTATTATAAACCAGCACCTCAGTCAGTTATGCCAGTTATGATGTCATACTAAGTGATTGATCTATAGGTCGCAATGCAGTTTGGCTATTTTGTGTCTGTATACATCTAAGTGTGTTGTCAAATCCAAGAAACCTAATAAATTACCTAGCCTCCTCCACAGGCAACTCTTTTTTCCTCCTTTGGGCTTCCTTTGCAACGGTCATTTTGGCCGATGAGGACTACTGACGAGAACTTCGCCCCCATTCTCCCTCTTTTGACTCCTCAAAAAGACAGGAAGCCCGTGATTCTTAGTGATGCCTGCGGAGGAGGCTATAAATTACCTTGGTTGAAACGTTTTTACATCGGTGAGTTCCTGCGAACACTCCAAATTGAAAGGTACCCCCAGAATCCAGATCACACTGGTTAATGTCAACGTTGGTAAGCTCAATGTCAATAGTTGTCACACCCCTAAAAATAAATTGCAAATCAGTGGGTCAGCAAGCGATTAAGCGTAAGGTGCAAGCGATAGCGAGATGTAACTAAAACTGAACGACTCCGTAGAAGGTTCATCACTGCTCATAATGAATACTTCTTACATCGCCATTTTAATGGCTCGAGAAAAAAAAAATACTTATTTATTCTATGAATCATTTTCTACTGAACGATGCCGGAACAGAGTTAACTTGAAATTTTTTGATTTCGATCCGCAGAACTCGATCTATTATCGATCTATCGATCTATTATTATTTAATATTATCCAAGCGCAAAGGACAAGTCTGCATAGCAAATTCATTTTTTACGATGTCCGAAAAGCCCGCAGGAAAATTATGTGAATTTCATTCGCGTATTATTGACATAAAATCATCTTAACGCAAACAACAGTAGAGTTGCAGTCAAATAAACTTAATTAAAACGACGGCTTTTAGTCACATTTAATCAGTAGATGTTGGGTTTCCTCGGTACACATAGAATTAACAAAGAAAAGGAAGAGAAGAATTGGGTATACCTATTGTTGAGAAACGAACTCTTCGTGCACGTGACCATACATACGAAGATGGTACCGACGCTCTATTGCGCGCGCTGAAGTTGTGTAATTGTTTAGCGGTCTAATAAAAGACATTCACAATTTCAATAAGGGGTCAAAGCAAGTCGGATTTCGATCAAAAGGATTATAATCAGTATGAAACTTCAACTGCAGACTTACAGATTGTACAGTAAATAGACATGTCCATCTAGTCACTTTGATTTGTTTCTTTTTTCAATCGTTTCTTTTTTCTTTCTTTGCAAGTTAGCGTGCTAATTCAACCTTAAATCGGTAAAATCATCATCTGATTGACTTGTGTYGAGTGCAAATAAATCTTCTTGAAAGATTATTATTTGCGATAATCACACCGCCAAAAAGCCGCGAAAGACTCTTTATAACACAAAAGGTAATTGGATATTGTGATTTGCCTCAAGTGATGGTAGCTACATTTCATCCTTCACATGTATTGAATAAATAACACAAAAACAAGACAAATGCAATGTACCAAGATATCGATCACAATACTGAATATAAACATCAAAACGCACTTCAAATCAATTGAAACCACTTTAAGCAAAGTCTGCCGACCAGCGTAAGATTCTAAAACTGCACAAATAAAAAACTTTTTTGCTCGCATGGACAATACTATTAGTAAYTGACCAGCATAATATATTTGTAGCCTGCGTTACATTTGGTATTGATTTGTGAACTTAAATGCACTTTTTATCGATTTTTATCTTGACGGGCAATACTTTAGTTTTGAATTCTCTTTTGTGCAAGCTAAGCTTAAATCAAGCATACTTTTTATTGTCTTCTTTGTACACAGAGTGTTTGCATTACAATAGGATCTCTGCTGAATAAAAGAATATATTACATGCTCTCGAGGTTAAGGCTGCACAAATAAGATCTCGAAACTGGAGTATTACCAGTTTCTGACGCTGTTATTGCTGATGGCTGTCAATCCCTTTGTTGCTACTGTTATTKCTGATGGCTGTCAGTTAGTTGTTGCCAGCACTCCACATGACGAAAGTTTAAATTTTTAAATTCTAAATAATATCTATAAACTAAATTACTTACATAAAAGTAGGTTTCCCATCTCCACTCCAGTTTCCAATGATAGGCACTGTGAAAGTGATCTGCCAGGCTTTAGATGTCGTACACTCGTAATAGGGGCGAGTCCACAACCCGTCAATAGTTTCAGCAAAGTGATGAGTCAGATTAACCTGAGCAAAGTCAGAAGACTCATTTCGTCGTGGATAAAAAAATGTGGTCCGCGAAGGAAAAGGTCTTCCAACAGACTTGATGCGTACAAAATTGACGAATAGCTCATGAAGGTAGCTCCATGTAGTTGACAGGTCTTTCACTTTGATATAGGGGTCATTCAAGTTACGATATGCATAGGGGGCGTACCAGGTATAGTTAGGGAAGCTACTAAAAATAACAGCAGAGCCAAATATCAAACGATCACTTTCTACGTTACTCCGAACAATTCCAAACAAAATATTTTTGTTTTTTAGCAAAATAGAGTCTTGTCCGTGCGGTAACTTAGCTGATCCTGACGGAAGMAGATCTGATATCAAGTTTGCTGTTCGTATTGCGATTTGAGCTTGTTGTTTGTAAACAGAGTTTTCGTATTTAATCCCAAGGACTTCCATGCTTCTAGTCTCAAGCATTGTTCCGCAGTCTGCTTCCTCTCGTTGAATTTTGTCAATTATACGAAGTGCTTCTCGTGCTGTCATACTAAATGCGTTTGGTCGAGTGTCTTCAATTTGTGGTCTTTTGTGATTTTCAACAGACGGGTCGGAGGCAGAAGTTAAACGTYCATGATACTTTCGTTCCATGAAATATTGAGCTTGTGTCATCTGTGTCGTTATCGTAGCTAGCAAAATAATAATCATCAAGGCCATGTTAAAGGTGCAACGAGTCACGGCAGGCCAGAGGAGATTTACTGCGAAAGTTTGGTTAATCCTTAACTCCTCCAAAAATTAACAAAAATGAGCTTAATCTTAATCCGGTCTTAGATCTCAGCCGATGAGCTGGTGTACAATATAGTGTGATATGTTTGATTGAGATATTTAGGTTGTTAATTGAACGTCTCATAGCTTGTCAATGAACTGAAAGCCAAGCCAATTAACAACAGAAACGTCACTATTGTACAAATAACGAAAAACAATCAAGACGACTGAAGAATGAGAAATGGTACCCACTAACAATGTTACCATTCAACAACTGTGACTTCTTCAGTTTTACCACGTCTACTTAAATCATTATTACACTGGAAGAATGGAATTTTTGGGGTATTTGGATCATGCTTGTTTGTTTTCTTTCTTTCATGTTTTGTAATCACGCTTTCTTCCTGTGGCTACTGATTGCATGACTTCAAAACCGCAGAATTGAATAGTAATTTACAGAGACAATCTCTCTCGATTCAGCAAAACAGACTGGCGCTTTATTAACCACGAAGACTATAAAAGGAGTGTGCACAAGGCATAGTCGACTCCATGCCGGAGTTTTCTATCCGTATTCATTTAACATCAAGCGCAGAATTATTTGTTCTTGTTATGATGTCTCTTGTGTCCACACAACTGCATGTCACAAACTTGAATGTTTACAAAAAAACTTGCGGGAAAATTTTAAACTGCAAAAAGYACGACATTTCATCGAGTTCTCATTTATTTAATCTGCCAAACTTCAAATAATCTTTAAATCCATTGGAAAGATAATATTTCGAAGTTTTGATTACCAATTCCAAAGCTAACTAAAATGTTTTTTGTTTGAATAGTATGTGTAAAAATAGATTCACAGATTTGTTCTGTACAAAGAGAAACCATATAAAGCCAGGATAACTCAGCAAGGGAATTTGCATAACAGAATAATCATATAATAGAATATCGATTGTCAGCACAGTGAATTACACCTGTCATTCAATAATAAAGAGATCTACAAGGAAATTGAATTAAAAATGTCAAAATAAAAAGCAAAATCAACCAAAGCAGATTYGAAAGAAATGAGGTATTCGAATTACAAAGCAATGCATTCATTACTTTGCTGTTGTTTACTCAAGCGAGTTTAATTTGGAGTTAAATTGTATTGCAGATTGTCACTTTTACATTTTACTTAAAAATTTGAATAATTCACTAGTGAGACATCTCATATGATATCGGCCTGCCTTCCTCTACACTCACGATTTCTCTTGTATGACATCACGTGACATCGATAAGCTTCATTACTAGAATACTATAGTCTGGCATACTCGTAGCAAAGAAAACGTCGTTTTTGATATCTGCACAGAAGCTTTCTAGCCATAGTGTCTCACAAGGTGTGAAATTGGACCCGCGGGCGGACCTCCGAAATGGCGGCAGTTCCCGCGATGCAATGCACTGTTCACTTGGCGTGTTCATTAGATATAATGTGTTTGAATCAACAAGAAGACTAAAAACTCGGCCGCGAGAAACCAACCATTTACAAGGTGATGAAACAAACGATCTACAGATAGCAGAAAAATGGTTATCAGAGAACACTACGAAAGACAATGAATCATAAACATTGCTAATTTACAGCCCTATTGAATTGAATCGGCCAGCTTTCAAAGATAAAAAATGAAGAGCATTTCCACTCATTTTGTCATCAGGAATAGGACAAGCAATGATTACCTGTGTAATGCTAGAGTTTCAAAGTCCCACGTGTAGACACCAGTATCAGATGCACAAGCAATTGTGCATCCATCAAACTGCAGTCTGGGTTGAAGGTGTACGGTGTCATCATTTGTTGGTAGAGTCACAAAAGGARCAGTTACTTCTTTCCTCAGTGACCAAACCTTAAAGAAAATARAAAAAGAATATTAAAAAAATACTTATACCATCTGGTTAGATGTATGATGGCAAACACGAGTGGGAAATTGGCTTTTTCTTATCTAACAAAACAACATTTATTTTCTTAGTATGGTATGCAGTCCACAGTTTTTCATAATCAGCCTARACCACTGTASCTTACATGAGATTTTAATGAAAAAATTGCAAAAAGGCTACAAAAAATGAATGAGTCCTTTTTTGTTATAATGTCTGTGAGAATCATAATTATAGGTCTTTCGATTCTCTGACAAAGCACAAAATGCAGGTATATGATGCTACATCCATTTTTAGGCTTCTGCTTAATTAGCAAAAAACATCTTTCTCTCATATGGGTGAAGATTATGAAACCTGATCCCAACCACTTTGACAATATCAAGCCAATTTGCTTCAAAATGTAATAGGCCTTTTGAAACCGTGAAAMCCTCACAGAGAACAAAATCCACCATACTGGATGRCAAAATACCYACTGGGATGTTCAAAACAAAGAAAAGTCAAGCTGGACAAGCTGAGATTTATTTTTGAGGTTTTTTACATTCTTTTGCCATCCAGTATGGTGGATCTACAGTAGTACCATATGACCAYTTCATGCAAATGGCCCATTTCGCCCATGTTTATTGAAATCTGAAAATTTCTCAAAACAGTTTGATCTTAATTACTCATTTATTTCATCATTTTTCCAGCACCAATAATTAAATCTTTTTATCATTTCCACTACAAACATAGCTTCGAATAAAAAGTTTCCTTTTTCTAATTTTAATGCAAAGGATTTGACTAGCTCTTGTCATTACACATTGGATCAGATTGCTATTTTTTGTAATTTTACTACTGCAGGTCTTTCGATTAGACCAAAAACTGCGACAGT